TTTGGGTAATTAATTATACTTAGAGATCATATTCACTAAATAATATATTTTCATTGATTTAAATTTGGTCATTTAATATTTATATTGTAAATCATACTTCATGTATAAAAGGCTTAGCCTGTGTATATTACTAAAATAACTACAAATACGAGTATGTATTGATTTTTAGCTTCAACTTAATGAAGAAGATGACATGGGTATTTCATCAGCCCAAGATAATAATGGAGCAGCAAGTCCATTAACAGCACGTTCAATGAGATTAGAGCGAGTTGCTCAAGCCTTAGCTCWCAGTCAAGAAGAACTTCGCAGGTTAGTCTTGTTAAATTTTTTAGATACCTAGTAATAAAAAAAAATAAAAAATGATATTAATTTATTATAAATAATTTAGATAACTTTAACTTTTAATTTTTTTTCCATTTTTTATAGGCGTGCTGGCATCAATACTGTTCCATCATCATTAAACATGATAAATTATAACTCTTCATCATTAAGGTATGTATTGCAGTAATTTAAATTTACTTATTTACTGATTAGAAATTTTTAATATGGTAGGCATATTATTTCATATGTATCATAATATATTGTACATATAACTACAATCCATATTTTATTATTTTATTTATAAGAGTTAGTTTTTTTTAATGTACAGGCACGCAAGCCAAATAAAAACACAGTATTTATATTTTGAAGATAAATCTTAGTATCACAATCTTTATGTTCCTATTTTTTAATGAGATACAACTAATTAATGTGATGTTCATATTAAATAGATAAATCATTTCTTTGTATATACATCAAAATCATTAAATGTAAGCTTTATATGCCCTCCTTAGTGCTTTTTAGTTATTTGTAGTAGCTGTTGGTTTGGGTTTGTAATATAGGGGTGCCAGTGGGTTTTCTACGCCTCCATCACCGTTGTCCTCTCGTCACAGCAGTCAAGATTCTTTGCATCATGGTCCAACATTGATGGGTCAAACTGGAACTAGTCTGTCAAGTATATCAAGTGCTTTCAGTGTCTCTCAGATGCAATCATACCATCACACATTACCGTCATCAGCTTCTGCAGCTGCGCAAAAGAAAAAAGGAATCAAATCATCCCTTGGACGATTCTTTAGTAAAAAAGAAAAGGTATTGTATTTACTTAATGTAATCAAGTTAACATATATATATTTATTTATTTGATTTATAATTTTACAGCAGGGAAAGGGTAAAGAAGGAATGAGTGGTATGTTGAGTCACATGTCTTCTTCTGATATGTCACTGGCTAGTTCCTATGCTGGAGATGATACTTCCAGTTTATGTAGTGCAAGTTTAGGTCAGAAAGGTGATTTTGACAGAAGAAAAAAGAAAAAGTAAGCATTGCTAAATTAACATTTCATTTAATGGTTATCACTTGCCTAATATATCTGTTTTGTAGGCATGAATTACTTGAAGAAGCAATGAAGGCTGGAACTCCATTTGCATTATGGAATGGACCAACTATTGTGGCTTGGTTAGAATTATGGGTTGGAATGCCAGCATGGTATGTGGCAGCTTGCAGAGCTAATGTTAAGTCTGGAGCCATAATGAGTGCTTTATCGGATACTGAAATACAAAGAGAGATAGGAATAAGCAATCCATTGCACCGTCTAAAACTTCGATTAGCAATTCAAGAGATGGTGTCTTTGACAAGTCCATCAGCCCCGGCTAAATCTCTTCGTTCAACTTTAGCTTTTGGTGATATGAATCATGAATGGGTTGGAAACTATTGGTTACCATCATTAGGACTGCCACAATATCGTTCTACATTCATGGAATGTCTTGTAGATGCTAGAATGCTTGATCATTTAACAAAACGTGATTTTAGATCCCAGTTAAAAATGCTGGATGGTTTCCACCGGTAAGTTTATTTTATTGATAGTAACACTTGCAAGGGTAGAATTTTATATCATAACTTGAAAATAAAATATAATTTAAATTGTATTTTCAATCATCAGTATGATTTTTTTTTTTGTACTATTATTTAGAACGAGCTTACAATTTGGTATAACATGCTTAAAACGGGTGAACTTTGATCGAAGTCAACTAGAAGAAAGACGCCGTATTGCTGAACATGAAACTGTAGACATTTTAGTATGGTCTAATGAAAGAGTAATTAAATGGATTACAAGTATTGGTTTGAAGGTTTGTATATTGATTGTTACTAAAAGAAACTATCAGTTATGATCAACTGTGTATTAAATTGACAATTCAAAATTTAGGAATATACTAACAATTTAGTTGAATCTGGTGTACATGGTGCTATCATCGCACTTGACAAAAATTTTGATTCTAACACTCTTGCAATGGCTCTTCAAATACCTCCACAAAACGCACAAGTACGTTTAAAATTTAGAATTTAATTTAGTGGATAAATAAAAAAAAAACTGTACATTATTTTATTTTTATTCAAATATTTTTAATAGGCTCGTCAAGTGTTAGATACGGAGTTCAACAAATTACTGACCATATCAACTGAACGAAGATTAGACAGTAGTTGTAGTGATCTTGGAGCCTCCTGATATTACCCATCCGCTTCTCAAGATTAAAATGAGAAGCGCCGGTGGTATTGACTGTTTTAACTGTGCCGCATCAGCACTCCTTCAAGTTGTCTTAGCGGCATGGATAGTTATTGCATTTTTTAAAGCAACATTTTGTTTTTTTTAAATTATCTTATCCTTTTCATATTTTAAGTGGCATTTTTAAGTTCAAAAATAACTTTTGAAACAGTTGTTTTTTCTTTTGATTGTTGTTAAGTTAAAAAATAATTGTTAATAACTTCATGGGAATAATTACCATTCAATTTATTCATTAATTTATTGACTTAAATTCGTTCAAACATTTTTGTTTTTATACGTTTACAATAACGTTTGTTGTATGTATAAATTTGTTTAAAAATTAAAAAAAAAAAATGGATCTTAATTAGTTTTCTGTAATAGTTCCCCTAGATGAGAAGGATATAATAATGACAGAATGTGCACAATTTCCGTGAGATTAAGTACCAAAGTATTGTTTTAACGTATCATGTGTATACTATTAGCATTAAGAAATATTTACATAACCATGATGTACTAATTAGTGGAATAAATATGTATAAAAATTGTTCTAACAGAACCTCATACATATAACTGCGATGCACAACATAAATGTATTTGTCTCTTCCTTCGCTGTTTTTGTTCGGTTTGTTTTAAAACTGAAATACCTTAGGTAAATTGTATAAGTTTACAGTTTAAATGTTTTTCTTTTTATACATATTATTTTCCTTCTTTTTTTTTTTTTTTGTTAGTGGCCAATGTTGTTCATGTATTTTAAATTATCATCCTATCCTGTTGTAGTAAGTAACATTTTTAAATATATATTATTGTATACATATGTATTTATTATATGAATTATATTATATATAGATATATATATATATACCTACTATTTATATAAAATATACATATACTATATATATATATATATATATATATTATAATTGTAAACATGATTATTAAACACTGTATGAACTGTTTATAATAAAAATAAGTTTTAACAATACATAATAATTTATTCCTATAGATTCACCAGTTTGTTATTGTATATTGGAACTGACATTTAGGCAAATTGTCTGAACTAAATAAAAGTTATTGAATTTTTATTTACCTAGCGTTGTTTGTAAAATAAATTGAGTTTTTGAGTTGTTTACAGAAAGTCGACCATTTATTTCCCAATTTTTCTTTTTAAATGATTTCCATGGGATGCTATTTATGTAAATAGTGTGGTATGCGTGCAGCACATTAAATAATTTAAACAAATTATTGTTTAAACAATTGTATTATCTTATAAAAATATGTATTATGTTCTATAATGATTAATGACATATTTTCATAAATAGTAATCAAAATTTCAGTAAAAAAAACCAAAACGATTGTTTGAATTACTACTTGGGTACTACATATCTCAGGTATATGCAAACATTTTTAACGGAGGGCCAGAAAGTAAAAATAAAAATGTACAACGGTCAAAAAATGCATAGGTACATCTAAATTGTATGTATCATTTTTATTAATTTTACCAATTAGAATTGGTTATTAAGGTTCATTAGCTGCATTGAGTGCAGCGAACTAGAGTTTACCCACAATTGAGATATATTATGCTTAAGAGAAAGTCACACCATATATTATGAGTTGTCTCCCTCTGACAAACTTATAATACAGCGAATTTATGTATAGTAAAACCGATTTCATGAGGTTAAATTAAATACTTCACTGAATTTACGTAGTTAAACCAAAAGTAAAAATTGTTACAATATTTTAATTTTCACCGAGATATGACTAAATATTACCAATTTCTTATTCATGAATAGTTCATAAATAAAACCATTGTAAAAACCCAACAAATAAACATATAAAATAATTCACTAAGCAGTATTAAAGCTAACAACAACATTTTTTTTATTGTATTTCATGTTTATGTTTGTAAGATAGAATCATGCAGGTGGCAGGTACTCTTAAGTCTTAATATAATTAAAAACTTGGTTGTAGAAACAAATGTTTTATTACAAGTACAAATTGCAAACCAATAATTAATATTATATATGAGACATTTAATGGAAAATTTATAAAAAAATATTTAAAAAAAAAAATTACATGAAACATTTTTATTTTTATTCATTTTAAGTATTAAAGTGAATCACACATATACTTAACTTTTTAATTTAAAAACCATGTGTATTTACTTTATTGTGGTATTTACGAAAATATAATTAAATAAAATAAGACATAAAAAGGTACATATTGTAATGGGAAAATAAGTTCAATTAAGTAAAAAGAAGAAACAAATATAAAATAAGTATTTTGTTACTTTTAAGTTTTAAGTAACACAAATTCTATAATAATGTTAATCTATCTACATTGGTAGGAAAAAATGTGTAATTTAATAAACTGACCATTGATTAAAATCCATTAAAAATAAACAAAAATGACAACAGTTGAGATAATATAACAATTATTTTTTGTCTTTCTTTTTCCTTACTAAATTAAATAAGAGTAACATTATGTGATGTAATGTTTACATTAACATTTTTGATATATATATATATATATATATAATGTGATAATACAGATGTAGAACTGTCAACAAATTAAATGGATGCACAAATTATCTATAAAACATATTAAAAAAATTAATTTGGATACAATTTGTTTTGAATCAGTAGTAAGAATATTATTGAGGAACTTGCAAATGATAGTCAATGACTGGTGTATTAACTTTTAATTTATTAATAATTGAATAGTTGTATTTATCAATTTTTTCCCCATTGAATTTTGGGTAGTCAAAATCAGTTCTAAACATCAATACTAGTTTGATGAATATTTATTTATAGACATTATATCAAAGATAATATGTGATCTCAATAACTTATTCATCTCCTCATCCACCAATCATCTGTTCCTGGCAATTTATCACCTTGATTACCCTGTCCTTTTAAATTTCCAATCACTCCCATGACTGCTTTGTTTACTGCAGCTGCTACCATGTCTGAATTAATATTCTTATCATTTGTATAACTATTATTGACTGATTGATGCCCACTTCCTCGACTGTACAGCCGGTCATAATATTCCTGATCATAGTCCCAAATGCTATCTTGGGACCAAGCTTGAGGCTGATTGGGCGATCGATCTCTTCTCMTATCCTTAACTCTATCTCTATTATCATAATCATTCCATTTGGGAGCCATTTCTTTCTTAGGTATAGCTTCTGTACATATCACACTACAATCACCAACTTTATGATCTTTGCCAATAACTTTTTGAGCAGATAAAGGATCAGTGAATGTCACAAATGCAAAACCTCTATGTGGTCTGGGTAAAAATAAATCTGATATTTCTCCAAATTTGATAAAATAATTTTTTAATGCATCTTCATCTACGTCTTCAGACACTTGACCTATAAATACTTTACGCGGAACTTTATTTACATGTTTGTCTTTACTATTAGGTATACGTACATCACACCATCGACCTTCAATGTTGTGTCGTTCTAACATAACACGGACTTGAGATTTCTTATGCTTAAACCTGACAAATCCATACCCCTTTGACTTACCATTAAGATCAGTTTTAATTTGAGTATATTCTACTTGACCAAATTTGGTGAAATATTTTTTCAAATCCTCTTCAGTTACCTTCCACGGTAAACCCAGTACAACCAAATCCATATCAGAAACACTATTATCATCTTCTGCCTTATTACAATCATCAATTTCACTGTGCTTACGTTTTTCTGCAGGTGTATTTCTAAAATTACACATATACATACGATCTAACCAGCCATCTTCGGGTGGGTACAATTTGCCTTCATTGAGACGTACTATACGCAACCTATTGTTAACACGATACTTCAAACCAATTACTCCAGGATACTGTGCTTCTAATGTAGATAATAGAAGACTATTGTCGTCTTCCGTAGGCATGTCAATGGGATCACTGTTTTCACTTGCTGATACTTGCACATACATTTCTAAGTAAAAATACAAATTATTTTATTTTTATTAGTGATTGTTTTAAAGATTCAACATTACTATTTCAAAGAAAAAATAATTATATTTATAGTACATTCAACAGTACTTTTTTATTAGACATTTCTCAAAAAATAAATAGGTATACTTATGTATGATAAACTAATTTTTGATAAACCAACTAAATAGTATAGAGGCGACACCTAACTAAGATATTATGTACGGACTAATATAATATTAGTCCGTGATATTATGTAATGTATCCATCTAATCAAAAAATAAAATCTTTAATAGGTTCGTGTTTATTATTATTATAGTTTTTAAATCAATAAATATTTTGAATCACTTACCAAGTTATATGCAAATAATTTACTAACGAATATATTATGATTTTTACGGATCGAAGCGTATAATAACAACACAGTCAGTGGACTAATCGAACGGTGTATCCAAAACTATAATCTGCGATTAAAGTTAATTTTCTAGCTATTAAAATATTGTCATTATAAGTGAGCCATCGACAACATTCGAAAAACAAGAATAATGTTGTTATTAGTTTGTTACGGCTCAAAAACTGAAAACCTAAAACCAGTAAAAGCTTAAGCGATACTTGAAACTTAAGCAGTCGAGGTTTCTCAATTTCTCATCGGCCGTCGCGCGGTAGCGGTATCACGAAAGCCGGTAGCCATATGCAAATTATGCAATACGGACAATACGGTAGTGGTGGCCGAGGCTTATAGATTATACAGGTTGCCTCATTTTGAAAATATCGAAAAAATAGGAGTGGGAGAAAGTGACGCCATGACAATTGTCGTACAAACACTACAAAATATGATATAAGGATATAACTAACAATATAATGTTTTTATGCCTGTCTCGTTTCTCAACCCTTTTGATTTTGTTTTATTTATTTAATTAAATAGTGTTTTAGTTTGTATAATTACATATTATGGCTGCGAAAGAAATAAATAAGTTCTAATAACTTAATTCCGTGTAATAACCTTGAGTGGTGGCAACAAAAAATGATAACGATGGACGCGGTTGCCATAAACTACCTATCGTAGTTATAACCAGTTACCAAACATATTATACTATTTTAAATTTTGTTGGTATGGTTCGCGGACCACCACTTGGTGGACGACATACTCGTGTAGTCGTGTCACGCAGGTCGCAGGTGTCTCAACTCTCACTTCTCAGTGTCTCACGGACTAGTGGACGTGGACTACAGAAAGTCCATAGAGCTGGGTTGGGCCGGTTGGAGACCCTCTGGTCTATATCATTTCAATTAAATATATTATTTAATTAGAATTTAAATAGTTCACAAATCACAATTATTATAAAATATAAAAAGGTATCAGTTTAAAGTTTAAACAGAGTTGATACATAATATCCTTTATCCATTTTTATAACACAGATATACAATACTAAAATCTAACCATTTTAAAAAMTGTATACACTTATAGCTCATAATTTAAATTATGTTTAATCTCTCTATAATTGTGTAATTTTCTAAATTCTTTTTGTCGTTTTGATTTTTTCTTGAATACTAGTAGGGAAGTTTGTAATATATTTTCTTGCACAAGTAGAGCAGAAAAACTTAGAGTAAAATATACTGCATTCAGGCTTAATGCAAACATCTTTATCACATATAGAACAAACTGATCCTAAGATTAAGAATTGCCTTTTGCTGAGCGGAGAAAATGGATCTCTAGCTAAATAGTAATCAACTTTTGTTCCTATGTTGCGATTAAATGATACACGATTATTAAAACAATCATATCGTTCAGTCAGATTACAGTTTTTGCACACAAAAATTGGCCTCTCTTCAACCGCTGGTTCTGTTCTGCAAAAAAAGAAACGTTTTATAGATTTAATGTACGAGAAGATTTAAAAATAATATTGTTATAAAATTACTTTTTAAAAAAATATGAATTTTACACAGGTATCTAATAGAAAAWGAAAAACATGTCTTAAGATAAATTAGGATTAAGCAATTGAATGCTTATAATTAATAATATTAAATATTAATATATGATATATATACTATATACAGTATATTTAATCGAGTTACCAACATTGTGTATTAAAAAGTTTAGGTACTGAAATTATATTTACATAATACAAAAAATATATGTTAGTAATGCTACAGACTTGCTTTCTTCTATTCACATATTTTCATATTATATTTATAGAGATCCATTACTATTTATAATTTACTGATTAGCGATAAACTTTATGACAAAATATTATTTAAATAACATAAATTTACRTGTTTAGGTACTCTAATTAAAAAATCAAAAGTAGTAAAAAGTATTTATAATACATAATATTTACTCAGTATTAACTATCTTTGTTATTTCAGCTTTATCATCTGGAGTTTCAGTCTTTTCAGAATCTTCATTATTTTCACTCTTCTTGATGTTTAGTTTTGTTTCTGATTTTATAGTTAAAGGATGCTCTTGTTTAACAGACATTTTGAACTTCTAGAAACAAATATAAACTATGATGAATTATCTTTTTCAGTATTCACTCATCAACAATAATACAGTTTTTACAAACTGTAAACACAATTGTCTTTAGTCATTGTAAATTAACAATGTAATTACTAATGTAAATCATTTCTATGTCATGCTAGAATCGTATATAATGAGAGACCTGATTAAAACCCAATTTAGAATTTATATGTGCATAGGATGTATAATTCAAACACTATAACTATAAAATTGTTTATAATAACAATGATAATTATTAGATATATGACAAATAGTTTTGAAACTTCAATTATTATTACTATTATTTTTTATTAATAATCAAAACTCAGCGTTTTCAACTTGTTGATTTCATATTATTATTAAAAACACTACACATTACCTAAAAACAGACAACTTAAGTGATGTTTACCAATCCTYGACATGATATATAATAAATTTAAGTCACGGTATGTAGGTAAAATGAAAAATKTTATCGTGWGAATAATATCAGTGCACTATTTGTTTTCTCTCTGATGTATGCTCAACATAACAAATTTACATTTAGTAGAACCAACTCTGTGTTATTACCTAGTTTTAATATTGAGGTGAATGTATTTATCATCCAACTTTAAGTTAGGGATATTACCTGTGTCCCTACGTTGGCTATTTCATGATATTTTTATTTGTATGTAAGTTATGAGTGTGTAAATTATTACAATTTAAAAATGTTTATATAAATTGTATAAAAATGTAAATATCGTTAGAAAGTCAATGCACTGACACAAGTAGTATTCTTAGCTTAAAGTTAGATGATATGTGAATTCACTGTAATATACGAAGTTGATTCTGCTAAACAAAAATTTTGTATGCTGCTCGGGGGTCAGAGAGAAAAAAAAAATGGTGCACTGACATCCTCTAAACCAAAAATCAAGATGTAAGAACTTACAAAGTATTGTGAGGTATTTTTCTATGTCTAATGAAAAGTCAGCAGTGATTCAAAAAAAAAAATCAATGAAACAGAACGATTTATCGATCTTGGAAAGTTGGAATATGGCTCGATGCATGCAAATTTAATTTCTCATAGATCGATCTCGATGTTWTGTAAATGTAAATATTGTAAATTGTAAATCGTAAGCATTGAGTTCCAATTTCCCAAATATTATGCTTAAAACTTAAAATAGATAAGGTCTGTAATATYTTATCTATAATCATGATGTAAACACCGACATGCTTAACATCCCGGAAACGCGAATATTGCAAAATATATCCTGATTATCCTGTATTCCTGTCAATATTTACCATAATATTTGTKATGCTCAGTAATTTCTCACCTACCGGCTACCACTGATTAATGTTTTCATAGATAAYGTAATAGTGCTTCTTGTTTCTACTTTCTGAGTACTGACTGCATTCTATAGYATTCTACCATGTTCGTGATTAAATGTCTTATACAAAAAAATATAATGAAACGATTAAAGCCTTAGCCCGTGCCCCGTAGATTCACCACCACCTTTTTGATTATATATTTGAAAAATGATTTCGAAAAATGGTGTCGTAAGTGTTTAYGGTTTTCTGTTGGGCTTGTCCATCTTATTCGTGTGGTTGCTGCTTCGGAATAGCGACTTACTGGACACCTATGTCGATCCTGCAGTTGTGAATCCGTTGCATTTGTATATCGTCTACACTGCTGTTGCCAACGTCCTGGTACGTGTCGTCAACCAAGSAACCGCGTATAAAGTAAATATTGTGATCGTCATATAGACCACTGTGTGTAATWRRGTATACCTATTCTAACATKTTGTCTACAMATCTTTCAGGTATGTGCCCAGGCCTTGTTCCTGGGTTTAGCCATGGCTGCAGGTTTGCTGATCTCMATCCAAGCACCKGCTTCTTGGAAACCTTTTGGATGGTAATAAATTTCGATAGAAATTGAATTGAAAAAACTGTTAATGTACCTGTTGATTATCAGCTAATAACAAAAAAAGCAGTATTGTATTTATGATAATGTATAGTACTTAGTTTCAAAATGTTTGCAGACACTTACACAACACTTTTGAAATAGTTAGGAAATTTACTGAAAAATAATGAAATTGAACTTTGAGAAACATTAGAAAAGATTAAATTTATTCAAAAAGTTATTGTTTACTTATYATAAAAWTAATTAGACTTTCAACTTGATGCCGGTTGGGTTTTTCATAATTAAAATGCTCTTTCTCTTTCTGAAAGTTAAGTTAGTATATTTGATGTTTGACCAATAGTTGAGAAAACTTCACCCCATGTGTTGTATCTATCCTAAAAACCATAAAATATAGAAAATGTACACTCAATAAATGATTGACTTATTATTAGAATTGAAAATATTATCAGTATAAGTATGTTAGCTTCTTTACTGAATATTAAAATTTTTCTGTGGTATATGAGCATTTTTAAATTGCATAATAGAGAAATTTGAGTGTATTGATATTTGACGCATTCCAGTATAAAATCTTTTATTCATAAAGTAACTTGTATTAGAATGAGGCTTGATACAAGTCTGTCTATATTTAACTTCACAATATAATATGTGCCAAAGATTTTTTTTTGAAGGTCTGACTCTGCAACAGATAGCTGGTATATTAAATTCGTAGTTTTTTGAACTAATACCAATAGATACACTCAAATTTCTTTATTGAAAATCTTGATACTGTATGAAGAGTACTGTATGAATAAAATAATAGATGTATGATTTTTTTTATTTACCATACTATTTGATTTGAATTATTGAGTAAACTATTTTACAATGAAAACCCTTAATGTCGATACTCTGTCTCAAAAGTGAGACACTTAATGCACATYGTGAATAATGTGATTGGTGCATCTTAATCCATGTGAACACACCAATGCTAGAAGGTGATGAGAGATTTGCACCACTGCCGTAAATCAGTCAGCCGACTGATTATTCTCTTTTGAGACAGAGTGTATATAATCGTTACTGTTTAGGTATTTATAATAAACAAATAAAAATATTTTATGCTTCATTTAAAGAATAACCGAGTTTATTTTGTTGTTTTACATTCAGGTACATATGTGTAATGGCMATATTTCATTACTCTGAGTTCCTCAGCATAGCCGTGTGTAATCCTAAAACTCTAACGTCCTCATCATTCATGTTGAATCACAGTATTGCTTACGGTGTAGCTGCTGCAACAAGTTGGCTAGAATATCTATTGTGGCATTACTTCTTACCTGGTAATGAAGCCTTAAAAGTACATTAGATTGTCTTCATAATTTATGTTTTTTTTATATATTTAAGAGTAAGAACATTTTTTAATGATTTTTATTAACTATGTATATTATTATAATATTTAAAATGATTGTCAACGAAAAAATTAAAAATTCCAGGGTAAAATAATGTACAACATCCAGCCACTTGGGCAATAGGCTATTTTAAGCATAATGCAAAATCCTAATTCAATTATAATATTATTATGCTTTAAATCTATACATTTAGCAATAATTAGGTTCTTCTCATTTTCTCAGATATGAAAACTATACATGAAATCAGTTACTTTGGTCTTTTGTTATGTGCTTTCGGAGAGGCTTTGAGAAAAGGAGCTATATGGACTGCCAGAGATAACTTCACGCATTTAGTGCAGCAAGAAAAAGCACAGACACATACGCTGGTCACACACGGAGTGTACTCGTGGTTCAGACATCCTAGTTATGTTGGGTGGTTTTACTGGTCCATAGGCACACAAGTAATGCATACAAAATCAATATCATGGTTAACAACAACCATGCATACTTACATGGTTTTATTATACATTTAGATTGTCATGATAAATCCTGTGTGCGTTGTGGCGTATGCGCTGGCCAGCTGGAAATTCTTTAAGGATCGAATCTACTACGAGGAAATCACGCTCTTGAATTTCTTTGGGGAAGACTATATTTCATATCAGGAAAAAGTCGGAATTGGCTTACCATTCATCAAGGGATTTGTGGTTACACGTGACAAACAATAAAAAACAAATATTTATCCATCTCTTATTATTGGATAAAACATTTAAAAATATTCTAGACAACCGTGTAGTTGTTTCAATATTGTTTCGCACATGATAAATTAACTAACTGCATACAAATATGTATATAATATATTAAAAGTATAAAAATACAAAGTAATACAAAAGTCTATTKTTAAATTACTTTTTGTGTAAAATAAGCGATTAAAAATAGCACTTATACTTATGTATATATATATATATATTTTTTATAACATTTATTTTGATATTAATAAAAGTAATAAAGGTTTAATCTTATTTTATAATTTGATTTTTATTSACATAAAGTAAGATTCAAGTAGGAACAGGAACTTATACAGGGTAATAATGGAAAAAAAAAAAAAAGTAAAAAGTTGGTCCGAAAATACGAAAATAAAAGAAGTCTTACAATGTACTTATTGGCAAGTTTTTACATCCCATGTTAGATAAAACTACTAAATTTATAAATAATACGTTTCCAAAAAAAAAACGTTATCCAATAAATAATTTAAATATTGCGTTAGGATAAGTAGTTTGGCACATAGTATTAATATTGCTGAACTTATACTAAAATACCCCTTTTATTAATAGTTGCCCCCATGTTATCAATAATACCACTGGCTGCTTTGACTATGTCCCAATTAGAATTTTCCAARGCACTTAAGCACACACTGCGCTTGATATTGATATGACCCCCGGCCTCCAGAGTTGCTTCTAGTTTGGCCAACTTTATTGCATGGTGTACATCCCAACCAGCCGCTCTTAACTTGTCCAAACACTGTTCACTAGACACCTGGTTGTAAGAAAAAAAATATCGAGCAAATCACACAATACGGTCGTATGTATATCATGTATTTATGAACGAAATAAATACACACTTTGCTCCCGAGAACTTTGATCATTATTCTGACTTCATCACAGTCCAGACCTCGGCTATGCTCGGGTCGGTCCACAACGTCGGCACCTCTGTCAAACGTTTTTTGCTGCTCACAGTTTTCTTCTTCGTCGCAACCGGGTTCAAGCATCACCGGGAAAGTGTGCACTTGACGTTCGRCTACCGGTGATTCAACAGCGCCCAATTGGTCCAGAGCGTCTAGTTCCAAGGCGATTCTCTCGTCGAAACTCACTTCGGAGGTACTAAAAACGAATTGAAAAACAATTTACGGATTAAATCGTATCGAACTACATTGATCTAAAGAAAACTTAAAAATAATGTGTATATTGTTTCCTTTCTAATCGCCGACGAAAAGTTTCCATACATTTATCGGGGCCCRTCGCCCATAGGAGGTACAATAGCTCTGTCAATATAATATAAGAGTTACTTTATATAGTTTATATATAGTGTACTAATATGTAGTGATCAGGTACCTATGCCCGAAGAAATATAAACCGGAAGGGAGGAGTAGTGGCAAGGTTAAAAATCTCTGATAACGCAACTCATACTACTTTCTTGTTTTTACAAATGATAAAATATTGATATTTACTAGAAAAACAGGGGGGGGAATGCAACTCCCTGCATCCATGCCTGCGAACTTCCTTAAATGAAATATCGTTATAACTTATTGTTTAAATCTTATTTTATCTGTTATTCAACTTTATATTCTCAAACTAAACTACTAAACTTTAAGTTCTCGGGGGCGTGTCTTAAAATTGAAAATTTGATTTCAAACATTACAGTGAATATTTAATTACGTATTAACAAAAAATGGGAAGGTGCCGCAAACTGTACAATTACAAAATATGTATGAGAATATTAGAATAAGCTAAGGGCCTCCCTAAGCCACATACTAGGTCTTAATATTTGTATAGAATTTTGCTTACACTTTATTTGATAATAAACTATGATGACAAGTGACAACTGTTAATATAGGTACTTAACTAAATCCCACAACAAGCAACAATGTTTCACAACAACAATAGTCACAAGTTTCTACTTGCAAACATGTTGAATAACAACATTATYAATTGAAAAATTAAAATTAAAAACCGACCAGCAAAAATGTTATGGCAATATTGGCAATACAATAAATATATCATGTCGAGACACCACGCCATGCGATTTCGCTTCCATCAGCTGCAAATCGAACCATGTCTAAGACTTGAAGTAGTAGGCAAAATTAATCAAACAAAATATTCATTTGCAACAGACACGGAAGTCACTGCGTCTACAATTCTGCTGACAGTTCAACAATAAGAATCRCACCAAAAGTGGAGGATTGCGAAAACTAATTATGGCAAATAGTTCAGACTTAAAAATAATTCATAATTTATTGATGACTGATGCAATAAATGTTTTTGATAATATTAAATTTCTTTATAAATCCATCGTAGAATGTACATGAAAAGTTGATTGGGAAACTAGCMAATCGGGTACGGACTTCTTAAAGTTATATAAAGTAAAAATACATTTTCTCGACCAACAAATAATGTCTAATGAAGTTATCACAATTATCTACCAAATAATAATGGCAATGAAAATGAAACAATTTTAAATTATTATTAATTTATCTCATATTGCTACCTATAGACGTATAGTCAAAAGTTGAACGTGGTCCCTAGAGAAACTGATTTTGTGGTATTCTGATATTTATGCTTTAAGAGGACGCTACACCCGTATGTGTTGTCTCCGTCTTACAAGTTCGTAACATTACAAAAACTGTTTCGCRCGGGAAAGAACCAAGAAGGCTACAGTTATAACTAAGAAACGAAATTTTCACCACATAATAAGGAGAACATTTACTGTGCAACGTTGTTTTCAATTTTTCGATATCACAAATAGAAAAAAAGTTCTTATTGTTTCAAAATCCATTATTTTTGCGTTTTTCAAAATCGAATAACTTTTTTTTCAGTTCTAA